CTCTCCTGTTGCCCGCGTCTCCACCATGCCCACCCCGCCGCCCTTCCCTGCTGTCCCCGCAGTGTCATTCGTGCTGTCGAGGATGTCGGGGTGCGGGGGCCCCGCCAAGAGCCGGGTGACGGTTCCCAAGCGCGTGTGGGAGTTCGTGACGCGGGAGCGCGCGGCGCGGCTGGCGCTGCTGGCGCAGGAGGCGCGGGTGCGGATCCTGGTGGACGGCGAGACCCCCGAGCTGTACGTGCTGCAGCTCTGCGCCGCACCCCCGGGTCCCCCCGGCGGCGGGGGGCTCTGCCCGGCCCGCAAAGCGCTCAAAGCGCTGCTCAAGGAGACCGAGAAGGAGCTCAAGAAGCGCGGCCAGCGGCACCCGGGGGAGGTGCTGGGGGCGCGGCCGGAGCAGCAGCAGCAGCAGCAGCAGCAGCAGCAGCAGCCGGCGGGCGCGGCGGGAGCTCCGGGGGACGAGGAACCGGAGCGGCAGTGCCCGATCTGCCTGGGCGAGATGCGGGGCCCGCGCACGCTGGAGCGCTGCCGCCACTCGTTCTGCGGGGAGTGCATCGCCCGGGCGCTGCAGGTGCGCTCCGCCTGCCCCGTCTGCGGCCGCTTCTACGGGCAGCTGGTGGGCAACCAGCCCCCCGACGGGCGCATGCTGGTGACCCGCGACGCCGCGCTGCCCCTGCCCGGCTACGAGGCCTTCGGCACCATCATCATCCAGTACGTCTTCCCGCCCGGCGTGCAGGGGGTGAGTGCGGGATCCCAGCGTGTTTGGGGGTGCTAAATGGTGGTGGGTGGCTCTGCTCTGTGGCTCAAAGGGTACCCCAAATGGGCCAGGTCCAGCTCGGTGTCCCCTGGGTGTCCCCATGTTCTCATCTGTGCACCCCTGGGTGTCCCCAGATTTTATTGGGTGGCTCTGTGCTGTGTCCCAAAGAGTACCCCAAATGTGCCAGCTCCAGCTCGGTGTCCCCAATACCCCTGAGCGTCCCCAGATCCTGATCAGTGCACCCCTCAAATGGTTGATGGCTCTAGCCCTGTGCTGTGTCCCAAAGGGTACCCCAAATGTGCCAGGTCCAGCTCAGTGTCCCCAATGACCCTGGGTGCTCCCAAGTCCTGATCAATGCACCCCTGGGTGTCCCCAGATCCTGTTGGGTGGCCTGCGTTGTGCCCTGATGGGTATCCCAAATGTGTCAGGTCCAGCTGGGTGTCCCCAGTGTCCCTGGGTGCCCCCAAATCCTGATCAGTGGTATCCCCAAGTCCTGATCAGTTCACACCTGGGTGTCCCCAAATCTTACTGGGTGGCCCTGTGCTGTGTCCCCATGGGTAACCCAAAGGTATCAGGTCCAGCTCGGTGTCCCCAGTGTCCAGCTTGGTGTCCCCCATGTCCTCATCTGTGCACCCCTGGGTGTCCCCAGGTCCTGGTCAGTGCACCCCTGGGTGTCCCCAAATCTTATTGGGTGGCCCTACCCTGAGATACCTGATGGCTACCTCAAAATGTGCCAGGTCCATCTTGGTGTCCGCAATGCCCCTGGGTGTCCCCAGATCCTGATCAGTGCACCCCTCAAATGGTTGGTGGCTCTAGCCCTGCGCTGTGCCCCAAAGGGTGACAGGTGTCCTAACCCCGTCCTGTGCCCTCTGTGTCCCCAGTGCCCCTGGGTGTCCCAAATGCTCCTGGTCCAGCACCACTGGGTGCCCCAAACTCACCTGTGCCCCCATCACCCTCACCTGTGCTCCTCTCACCTGTGTCCCCTCACCTGTGTCCCCATCCCCCTCACCTGTACCCCCATTCCCCGCACAGGTGGAGCACCCCAACCTGGGGGTGCGGTATCTGTGCCCCCTCACCTGT